TCTAAATTTTATATCTACATATAAGAATCAGTATTGTGTAACCAAGGATCAGACTATGAGATGCTCAGGTTTTCTGGCTATTTTGAGGGCGGAGGAATTCTACATTGAAAAACGGAATGGCAGACATATAACAATATGCATGTCCAAACCTTCTGCTTCCTTTTAAGACAGCCAGCAGTTTAAACAACCAGGCAACTCCCTGGCTCCAATTTTCAAGAAAGATATTCTGAGTGCATTTGGCTTGTAATAGGATTATCCAGCCCGCCCATTTCCTACCAGGCTTTACAAATACAGTATCTGGAGACAAAGAGTAACCTATGAAACAGAATGTGGGTGAGCATGCAGTGCGGCTGGTAGGAGACCCTTGCAAGCAACCCACCCCAGTTTTCCCAAGAACTCAGCAGTTGCCTGGCATACAACCTCAAGAAAAGAACTATCTGATTCAAGATGTTCCTCAGAATTGCTCTATATATGGCCACGTGCCCAATTCTAATATAGCAATACAGGTCAGCTTCATAAATATTTGATTCTTAAATCCATTCATTGGCTTATTTTCAAGTTAAAACTGCGCAAATTCTTGTATGCATTTCCCCCTTCTCTGTGTATTTGATGTGCAACTTTCTCCTATACGTGCACTGTTAATTTCAGATTTTTAATGGAGGATTGCATCCCAAGTTTTAGTCCTCAGATTAAGAGAGTAGACCTGTTAGGTCTCTTCCAACTGTATAACTCTATGATTCAAACAATATTCATTTGGAAAGTTGTGATGAGTAAAGCTGTGCGTAGCATTCAAAAGACATGCTCTGCAAAGAGATGTTAATAAGAGTGGAAAGCTTGCCTAGGCTTGGAAGACTATTCTTGGTTGTCTGAATGTCTCTGTCTGTTTGCTCTTAAATGACCGTATCCAGTGTTCATTCAGAGACAGGAATCAGATGGGACACCATGAGAATCCGGTACTCTTCTGAAAAAAGTAAAGGTAATTTCCCCCCTGCCCAGTCATGTGAGACTCTAGGAGGCAGTGCTTATCTTTGTTTTCTAGCTGTGGGGGCCAGTGTTGTCTAAAGATGCTTCCATGGTCATGTGGCCAGCATGACTATACATCGAAGCAAATGGAATTCTATTACCTTCCCACCAAAGTGGTAGCTCTTTATCTACTTGCAATTGCATGCTTTCAAACTGCTAGATTGGCAGGAGCTGGGGACTCACCCTATAAAGTGGTGCTTGGGCCTCAAACGGCCACCCTTCCAGTCAATAAGCCCAGTGTCTTAATCGCTAGATCACCACATCCCTATTGTATACCTTCTAGACCTTTATTAATGACTTAGAACATGAAAAACTGGAGGGAACACTTACTGCTAGCTGGGCAAACATTAGAGAAAGTGTCTTTGCTTTAAATGGAGCTTGAACAGACCATTTTCAGAGCTCTTACTGAATCTGAGAAAGACAGGCCATGAGGTTCTTCTAATATTTCCAGTAAGAGCAAGCAGCTGGACTGTTTCTGCTGCTGGTGGTCAGCCATAACAGCGTAACACAGTTGGACATCTCCCTAGACTTAAGGTGGACTTAAAGTGGATGGAAGCTGCTGGAGATCAACTTCCCATCTCTGTGGACACAGGGAAGCTTGAATCCTTAAAGCAGCTTGAATCGAATCATCCAGTGACCAGGCATCAAACCAGAAATGACATCAATCTGCTCAGTTGTGTCCTACTTTTGGCCACTTTATAGGGAAATACTCTCCATGCAATCTTGAATAGCAACCTCTATTTGGCTTGCTGAGATGAATCTCTCCAGGGGAGACGTTCTGTCCTGAGATATTGGCTCTCTTTCCAGTTTAACACAACCTCTAGTTCTGCAGCTAGCCAGGGACAGGAGTTTAATTTTCAAAACAAAGAGAGGACAATTTCTGATTTGTATCAGAAGCTGGGAATGCAAATATGAGTCACTGACATGTTCAGGCTTCAGCTACAGCCCTGCTTTATTTTCCAGTTAGTCAACATACAGCATCTGGAAACAGACAATCTTCATAAGTGACATTTATTCAAGAAGCAGAAACTCATTGTGGGTCTTAGATGAGGCAACACCCAGAACAAGCTCAGTCAGTGAATCCTTTGCTTTTGCAATCACAGCAGAAGAAGGTGCAAAGAACACAGTTAACCCACTTAATATAACTACAGTAATGCTTGATATCTGTCCAGTCACCATTTCTGTTCTGTGGAACTGCAAGGGTTGCTAAACCCATAACAGATTAACAGAACTGAAAGGGACCCTGTAGGTCATCTAGTCCAACTCTCCCACCCAAGCAGGAAACCCTAAACCATTTCTGACAGATGGCAGTCCAATCTCTTCTTGAAAGCCTCCAGTGATGAAGCTCTCACAACTTCTGAAGGCAAGCTGTTTCATTGGTTGATTAGTCCCACTGTCAGAAAATTTCTCCTTATTTCCAGGTTGAATCTCTCCTTGATCAGTTTTCATCCATTATTCCTTGTCCGGCTTGGTTTTGGAAAATAAGTTGACCCCCTCCTCTTTGTGACAGCCCCTCAAATATTGGGACATTGCTATCATGCCTCTCCTTGTCCTTGTCTTCACCAAACTAGCCATGCCCAGTGGGATTCACATTTTTTAACAACTGGTTCTGTGGGCGTGGCTTAGTTGGTGGGAATGGCTTGGTGGTCATGTGACTGGCTGGGCATGGTCAACTCAACATCACTCACATCGAGGCATGTATCTTCTCACCTGGCCTCTCATGACTGTGGGGATGCTGCAACAGTCGTAAGTGTGAAAAATGGTCATAAGTCACTTTTTTCAGTACCATTGTAACTTTGAATGGTCACTCCACACAAGCAAAGTACCAGCAAAGGAATGGAAAAAAACTCCAGAGAAGTTCCAGAGACAGGAAGTCTAGTCCTGCCAAGAATGTAATAAGGGTTAATGGAGAGGAAGTTTCTGTAAGCAACACCAGAATGCTTCCTTCCTGCCTTCCTTACAGGATTAGGCCAGTAATTTCTTCTAACAACCGGTTCTCCAAACTGCTTAGAATGTTAACAACCAGTTCTAGTGAATAGGTGAGAACCTGTAGAATCCCACCCCTGGCCCAGTTCCTGTAACTGTTCTTCATATTTTAGCCTCCAGTCCCTTAATCATCTTGGTTGTTCTTCTCTGCACTCTTTCTAGAGTCCCAACATCTTTTTTTATAGTGTGGTGACCCAAACTGGATGCAGTACTCTAGGTGTGGCCTTTCTAAGGCTTTATAGAGTGGCATTAGTGCCTCACCCAAACGTGATTGAATCCCTCTGTTAATGCAATTTAGGATTGCATTGGCTTTTATGGCTGCTGCCACACACCTTTGGCTCATATTTAATTGGTTGCCCACTAAGAGCCCTCTCACAGTTACTCTTATTTAATTGCTTATTGTACCTAATGATTCTTGACTCTTGATTAATGTATCTTTTCTGTTATGTACACTGAAAGCATTTGCACCAAGACAAATTCCTTGTGTGTCAATCACACTTGGCCAACAAAGAATTCTGTTCTGTTCTATTAAAGCCTGGTTTCACCCAGTCTACATGTGTACTTTAGGATTTTCTTGGCTAAGTGCAAGATATCCGAGTTCATACCAATATTAGCCTCGGTGAAAGCATGTGTCTGGGCCAAATTATTAGGTCTATTGGTGACTCAGGCGGAGGTTCTCAACTCTTCTGGAGGAAAACTCTTGCCCTAGGTGTCCCCAGTATTTCTGAAAATTAATGCTGTTGCTTGATGTTTAGGAAATAGAGGTAGTCCTCAACTTAAGACCACAACTGAGCCCAAAATTTATGTTCTTACATGAGACATTCGTTAAGTGAATTCTGCCCCATTTTTACAACTGTTCTTGCTACAGTTGTTACGTGAATCACTGCAAGTGATAAATTAGTAACCTGGTTGTTAAATGAATCTGATTTCCCCATTGACTTGGATTGCCAGAGGTCACAAAAAGTAATCACATAACCTTGGGATACTGCAAAGGTCAGTGCCAAGCATCTGAATTTTGACCACATGACCATGGGGATGCTGCAAAGGTCATAACTGTGAAAAACAGTCCTAAGTCACTTTTTTTAGTGTCGTTGTAACTTTGGATGGTCACTAAATGAATTAAAATAAGTTGAGGACTAGCTGTATAGTATTAAAAGCCTTTTTCCTGCCATAGTAATTTTTGAAGGGAATTGTGCTGCAAAAAACCCAGTATAAAGCAAGTGAAGCTGTATAATAAACCATATAATGTAATTGTAACAGTATAATCACTGTAAATTATAACAAACAATAATGGCTGTCTGTGGAATCCTGGGAGTTGAAGTCCACACATCTTAAATTCATTGAGGTTGACCAAGACAGTTGACCAAGACTGCTCTAAACTGCTAAACCAGAGGTGTCAAACTGATGGCCCATGGGCCATATGTGTCACGTGCAGGCCATGCCCACCCCAACTCTGTGAATGGGAAAAATGTTGCAAATCATCATGTGACAGCAATGTGATGCAGCGAGTTTGACATCCATGTGCTAAACGCTAAAGGCCTTCTGGAAAAGTCAGATTCAAACTCTTCTTCAGAAAGCTGTAGAATCTCATGCCCTCACATTCCCAGCCTTCTCATTCCGGTTCCAGGCTCTCTACCTCTTTAAGTGTCTTGGATTATTTCTTCTCATGGGAATTTCATTCCCTTTCCTCTTTATGATAACCCAGGCCCTCTTATCTTCTCGCCTTGGGGAAGCTTTCTGGTGCCTGTTTCCAAGAGCCAGTCCCTTTCTGTTTGGGAAAAGGCTGGGAATTTCTTTTGGGGATTGCTCCTCACAGGGACATTTAAGCTTTCTGGGCCAAAAGACCCACTAACTTCCTACACACCATTTTACAGCTTTTGGTGCAGACATTTTACATTATAGCACATATCCTCTTGGTTAGTTGGAAGGAACTCAAAAATCAGCTGAAATGAGAACAAGAACCAAACACAGCAGAACCAGTAGAGGAAATCTATGGCTTTTATTTCCTTCTGCTACAACTGATGATGAAAAAAAAAAAAAACTAAGCAAGGAGGTTTACCTGCCAGGTTACTCAGATACTAACCTTTACCGGCAGAATCGCTTAGGTACACTGCTGGATTTAAATAGTCCATGTGCTTGAATGAATCCTGAGGCTATTGGCAAGATTGTCCTAAGGGAGGAGCAAATCCAGGGGATTTTCAAAGTGTTGAATGACGAAACATATCACACAAAACAATGGGTGGCTTGGCTGGGGAATGATAGATGCTGTAGTCCAGGAGGACAGTTTTTAGATACTTTGGCTTAACACAGAAGTTGCTGAAGATGGCTCTGGAGTGCCATTCCACTTAGGTCAAGAGGATGGTCTTTATTTTATCGCATCTCTGCAGTAATGTAAGTGATGCAGAAGAGTTGTGCTCATCTATCAGAGCAGCTGGAACAGGAGGATGGAGGAGGTTCTGAATCCTTCTTTTTCAGTTCATATAATGAGATCTTCTCAGGAGTGGCTTGATGGTCGTCTTCTCACACATTAGCGTAGATAGATTGGTCATTTAAGGTAGAAAACCTGAAGGACGCATAATCAACCTTTCCTGTGTTTTCAGAAGCCTAGAAGGTTAACATATAGCACATGTTACTAGTTACGAGAGTGATCAGAAATATTTGAAAAGAAAAATGCATATTCGTGGTTTGCCAGCAGGCTTTTTTCTTAACTATGGTTGACCAGGTTAAGGCAAGCAGCTAAGGATTTATATATCAACCATAGTGGCTAGATTCATACCGCACATAATGTCATCAATTATGCAGCTACACTTCAGATTAATAGCTTCCATAAATCCAGTCATACACACATGTTCTATAAGATTTTATATTTTAATGTTTTCACTGTGTTAGATAGTGAGGGCAGTTCTTCCAGAATAGGGTTTCTTCTTCCAATTGTACATTCAGAAGTCATGACTCTAAGCCTCCTGACTCCATCACACTGCCGTTATATTTTGTACGTATTCAAGGAAGCTACTTGCGATCAAGTCCTAGCAACAGTGGGACCTTTTTCTCTGAGAATGCCTCCATGCCAGGCCTTTCCACAGTTTTAATTTCTAGGTCATTGGACATGTTCAAGTCCATTTATTTTTGTCTCAAGAATAGTGAACTTCAAAACCACAGTAAAACAGTTCTCTATTATTGAAATGCTGTGGTCTATGGAGCTTTTGAACTACGTATCTATTTCTCCCATAGGCAAGAATCTCCCTCACAGTGTTTCCTGGCTTCAGGTCTTTCAAGTAAATTTGGAATTTTGAAAAAAATATTATGGGCAGTTTCCAAAATACCTGCCATAACTGGTGTTGATATTGTCAGTCAGAAAGGCCCATCTACCAGGAAATAATCTGATGAAGTTGCTCTCATGCCAGCCTCACAGTAACTTCGCCTTGTTTTCTGAGTAGGTGAGCTCAAGTCCAAATAAAGCACCATATGAGGTATTTGTAGGCAAAATGGTGCTCAGAGGCTCTATGTTGGAGATTCAAATGATGAACAGGAAAGCATGGAATGGTCAGAACTGCCAAACTCTGATGAAACTGCATTCAATTTACATAATTTGCACATCATGTCATGTCCACCTAGTAATTTGAAATGCAAATGCGAGTAGATAAGTAGGTACCACTTTGATGGGAAGGTAACAGCATTCCATGTGCCTCAGCAAATAGTCATGCTGGTCACATGACCACTGAAAATGTCTTCGGACACTGCTGGCTCCCTCAGCCAAGAAACAGAGATGAGGATCTCCCCATAGAATCGGATACGACGGAGCAGGGATCCTTTACCTATTAGTAGCATCCTAGAAAATCTAGATACCAGCCAATTGTGGTGCAGAGATTCACTTTTAAGAAGTTCTCCCCTAGGGAGCTTTTTGAAACCTCTGCAAAAGGAAAGGCATGGGGAACATCTTTCAACCGATCTTCCCAATTCTTGCTGTAACCGAAGAAAGAGGAAAGAAAAACAAATAAGATGATTGGAATATTCCATTTTACAACGCCTTTAGGGTAATAGGGGGAAATTCCAATAGTAGGACAATATTGTGGTTTGAGAGTCACATGGATACAACTTTAAGGTAATCCAGAATTACAGAATTAATGGCCTGTAATATTTTATCTACTTTTACATTTAGTCAAAGGAAGGTTGACTTTTGATGTTTCGTATGTGCTTTAAACTCTCTAAACATTTTGTAGACCTGGAACAATTAAGACTGATTTTGCATTCCGTATACAGGTACGACTATTGAGAGGCCGAAAACTATGAGTTGGAATTGGTTGCAAGTGGTTGGGTGAAAGTTTCCCAGGCTTCTTTCCCAAGATGAATTCACCAATCATTTTGGTTTTATTTTTATTTTATTTTTATTTTTTTGGGGGGGGGATCACAGCTAATTACTTACTGATGTACCAAATATATATATTGATCTTTAAGATAAACACAGTTGCAAATGTAATAGATAACAGATAACAGATAAGAGTTGGAAGGGACCTTATAGGTCATCTAGTCCAACCTCCCGCCCAAGCGGGAGACCCTACACCATTTCTGACATTATGAGATAAGAAGTATTAAAAGCATTAACAAAGTTGAATAGTTGAATCATGAAAAGCACCTGAGACTTAGAAGCAAAAGACCGAGTTGGTATCACAGTTGTATATGCCACTTCTGTGCCATCAGATGAAGGAGAAATCTAAATTAAAGGAAAACATGCTGCTATTTAATTTGGTTTGCCTGGTACTTCTCTTACTTTCACAGTTACCTTCACATCATTAGGCTGACATTACCTTCCCTGGCTATATAACAGGATGATATCACAATCATATCATAATAAATGCTGTTTCATTTGGCATTATTTTTTCCCTGCATTTATATTATGTTTGTTCTGTAATATATTCTTTTTTGGTAGGTCAGGGTACCATCCTGTAGCACTTCTTGAATACAATTGCGTGTGTTCCATAGAGTTAAATGGCATTACCTCCATAGGGAATTAAGATTATGTAAATGATTGATTTTAGTGATGGCCTTGAAGACAGGAGGCACAAAAGGCCAATCAGAAGTATCCTCCAAAGGAATTCAAACTCCACTGGCGGGAATGCCTGGTTTTTTTTTTGGGGGGGGGGGTTGGATAAGCCTGAATTCCTAATCACAGAAAAGCTTCTAAGACCAACTGCACTGAATTCCGATTCACTGTTGGAAACCGATGGCTGAATGTGTAGAAGTGTTGTGTTTGGTAGATGAAATATCATCTCATTTCCACATGAGATATAACAACTCAGGATACCCATGTAGGAATGAAAAAGAACCAAGACATAATATACAGGCACACACAGGCCACCGTGAAAGGAAGGAGTTTTCTTGAGGATGCTGTTTAGTTGTATGACTCTTAAATAATGCATATCTCTTTATTTTGAACTGAGAGCCTTGAGAATTATTTCTCCCTTCAATGATTATTTTAAAAAGTCTGATAGTCAAACAATTTTACCTGATCTTCAAATACTGGGAAATGTCAGGGAAATGTAGACATTGAGGCCCAAGGCTGTAAATAGTCCTTTATGACTCAGAAGGGAATCCAAGATGTATTGATAAATCCCTATTCATGAACTTATCTTTTCTTATTTTGTAACTGTGCCCTGACACTCAGGTTTGTGACTCTGAAAATGCTGAAAAGGTTTAAGAGAGGCTTTGTCATCATGGAACATGACCCAAAGACCTAGCAATTTCCTTCCTCAGAAGAATTTAAGTTTCTAGATACCTAATCTCTTCCATCGTCTTAGAAGTAACTTGAATTATTCTTCTCAAGCCTTCCAGATGTATTTAGCCAAAAATACCCACACTTATCCGCCAACGTAGCCATGCTACTGAGAATTCTGGGAGCTTGAGTTCCAGAAAATTTTATTTTTATTTTTAAAAATTTTATTTTTTATTTTTCTTATATGTATCCATTTCATGGATTCATAACTATGTTTATACGTATACCTGTTATCTTATTATTGCTTGACAAAATAAAATAAATAAATAAAAATCTGAAATGCATTCGTTTGGAAAATGCTGAATCAACAGACACCTCAGTCCTTTCCAACTTATTATTTGACGAAATGGTTCAGACATGGTTTCTGGTGTCACTGATCCAGCTATGTACACTGGATAAGCTGGAATGTCTTATATCAATTTTATGAGTTGGGCCATGACTTTAAAAAGTGATCCTCCATAAATATGTTCCAGGTCATCTCCTGTCTTCTTACTAAAGTCAATGCACTTGGATGAACGCCTGCAAAATTTTGGAAATTGTTTACCGTAGATGGAAGGAGATCCTTAGAGTTTTTGGTAGCTGGGGAAAAAACACACAATAAAAGAGCATTAGGGCATTGCTGCAACATTCAAAGCAGCAGCTTTGAAAAAAAAAGTTATCATATGGTTATCATTTCCTTCCTTTGCCCAAGTGAATTTTTATGACCTAACCAACTTTTTTTAAATTAGATTTTTCTCCCGGGAAATTATATTTTTTTCAAATTATGGAATAAGGCAGTTGTTACTCAGAGTCCTGGTTTTCTATAATTAGAAACACAGATCAGAAAAACAATTCCTTAATCCATTCACTCAAATTCATAAAAGATGTGAAGGATTTTAAAGATAAATATTGTGAAGAAACCAGAACTCTTTTATTGGGATGTATGGACAAGGAATTAGAAAAGATTCACGGCAGATTGATTTTGTATATGGCAACTGCAGCAAGGTTATTGTATGTTCAGTGATGACAGAACAGTGAAATTTCTCACAGTGGAGGGATGGATAGCGAAAATGTCAGAATTTGCTGACATGGCAAAGTCGATCTATTTGGTCAGAGAAAAAAATACTTTTCTGAATGTCTGGAAACCTTATATGGACTTTTTGCTGAAAACAAACAAAAATGATATGATAGTTTATGGATTAAAAGATATGGATTAAAGGAGAGGTTTGTATAACATCTAAGAAGAAGGATTTATAAGATTATAATTATCTATGGAAGAGAAGGTTGAAATCATTGTATTTAGTAACTTAAGTGTCGTTTCTTTCTTTTTTCTTGCACTTTTTTATTTCCTTTCTTTTTAAAAAGATAAATCTTTATGTAAAATCCTTTTTAATAAAAGTTTTATTTAAGTTTTCACAAAACATACAAATACAGATAAAAATCCTTAATAATATAATTTTTTTTTAAATATGTCTCCCCAGACACCAAACATAGTTCACTCCTGATTTAAGGAACGAAACAATCAAGATGCAAATGCTTTTAGCAAATTACTCACCTTTTTTCTTCCTTAGCTTCCACATCAACAGTGTAGTTCCACCTAAAATTAGCACCAGTAACCCAAGAACCACGGGTAGCAGGATTATGAGGTCAGGTTCTCTGGTGGGACAGATAACAGAAAATCAGTGAGATCGCTGGACTATACTAGTATTCCCTTCTGGTTGTTTACCATATAGCACTAGGTGTATTCAAATGAATAAACTAGATTCATTCAAATTGGATGGCACTGGGAACTTCTATCTTGGAGCAATCCTCCACGGAAGGATTATACGGAGATTTTCTACAGATGAAGTCTCTTAATTCTAAAGAGAAATGTTCATTTTTTGTCCCTCCTTCCACAGGTGTACTGAGTTAATTCCTTGGTGTGAAAAATCCATATAGGCTTTATTTCTAATCCTTACACAGCCCCTTTTTTTTGCCCTGCAGATGTCCTTCATATAGAGGGACAATTTAAAATAAGGGGACGGACGGACTTATTCACAAATGTTGGAAAGAAGTTCAGTATGAAAAAATCCATATGTACTACTTAGTGCTACCATCATTTTTTTGTACAGGCTGGATCTAGTCACAGACCACAAATCTCAAACATGTTGGAAACCACAAGCAGAAGTCATGTCTTATATGTTAGAACAGGACAGCAACCACTTTCTGAGGGCAGACACCAATATCTGCCTTTCTTAACCTCCCTCCAATTGCAAAATTGAACTCTGTTTTCCTGCCAGTTTATAAATAATCTGTTTCTCCTATGATGCTTTGAGTTCTCTATTTTGATTCCACTAACCCTAGAAAGTCACAGGGACCAAAATACTTGAGCAATAGTTTGATATCTAAAAGCTTTTTCACCTGTTGCTAAAAGCATGCAGTAGCTAAAAGCTTTTTGCCTCCTGGACAGCGCGGGCAAGCAGGAAACAATGGGAAATGGCGGGAAACTGCGGGGGCCAATGGCCTACCTCCTGAACAGTGCAGGCAAGCAGGGAATGGTGCGGGCGAAGGAAAGGCCACACACAGCTGAGTGCATTTGGCAGGATGAGGCGCAGCACAATGGGGCTGTTTTTTTCACCACCGACGGAACCACCGATTGCAATGTAGAAACAGGAAATGGGTGACTAGCACGAGGGAAGGAGGAGGAGGAGGGAGAAGAGAGGGAAAGCAGCCACCTCCTTACCTTGCGCCACCCGCTCCATTGCCTGTTTTGCCATTGCAGCCCCGCGCCATGGAGCTTTCCCCACTCACCACCACCCAGATGCCCTTGCTTCTCCCAAATATTTTTTTGCCTACCTGATGTTCAGCTTCGTCACATTTCTTGCCGTTGTGTGCAGGGTAACAAAAGTGTGTGGGGGGCTAAAAAAAAAAATCACTCAATCGAGCAGCGAGCGGACAGACAGGGTAAAAAGGTGGGTGGTGGTAGGGCCAGCCAGAGGTGGTGTTTGCCGGTTCTCTGAACTACTCAAAATTTCCACTATTGGTATACCAGAACCTATCTGAACTGGCTGAATACCACCTCTGGTAGGGGCATCTGAAATGATAAGTAAGTAAATATGCCCTTAGATTAGGCTTTCCCAATTTCCCTCCCATTTTTGAGGAGATATAGACAGAGTCCAGGGAAGGTGTAAAGTACATTCTTATAGTAAATACAGCTTTCCCTAGATTTAATTATATAGTTTTCACATTTGTCTTTATTTTGGTGTTTGGATTTTTAGGGAAGGTGTGAACTTTAAGATTAGACTATAGGGCAGGGGTGTCAAACTGAAGGCCTGGGGGACAGATTCTGGAAGCCCTGGAAACAGCAAAGGACTGGCCCGCAGTGCCTCTGCCAGTGAAAATGGAGCTTGGGAGGGCCGCAGGCAGAGGGCTGCAGGAAGCCATCACAGCTGAAAATGGAGCTCAGGAGCCCATTTTCGCTGGCAGGGTGCTCGGGCCACCACAGGAGCCCCCAACATGAGTGACATCAAGCTGGCCACACTGACCTTGGCCATGTCCCCCCGGGGCCCCCCAGGGTCAAACACAACCTTGATGAGGCCCTCAATAAAATCAAGTTTGATACCCCTGCTCGAAGGAGATGTGATGGTGAAAAGTTTAAGACTGCCTGCCTTATATCCTTAAGTTTGGACAATTCCTGTCACTTGCTCTATTTATATCTAAACTTACCTATTTGGACTTGTCCCTGTAGTTTCAATAGGGAAGGCTGAGGTGGTGGAAAAATACTCCGTTGTTATAATACTGGTAGTTGGTAGCTCTAAAAAAAGAAATTAAAAAAGTACAAACCCATAATTTTCTAACCTATGCTTGCATGGTCTTAAAATTATACCAAGAATGTATACTGACAATGATGAACCTGTCACTGTTGGGAAAAATTCCAAGCTTCAGAAATAAGGAGTAACTTTCCACTGGGAGGTTCTGTTCCATTCAAGTTGGCTACAAGTATTAGGTGAACACAAAACTGATATTTCAGGATGACCTATTAATGCCTGGGGGAGGGGGAACAATTTGACAATGAAATGTTCAACAGACTTGCTTGCTTCTACCTGGCTCCTGGAAATACTGGTATGGAATGATGGAACTTATAACATTTGTTGGCAATCGTCCCATCCCGATCTGATCTAAGGCGTCTGTGTACTGTGGCAGAGGGTAGCAATTCCTCCAACTTTGGAAACAACCTCATGAAGGAGATTAAATAAACCTGCAAATATAAACATCAGTGTGCCAGGAGGTCTGTAGTTTGTGTTCCTGTGGAAAGGCATCTTTTTGTTATAGTGTTATACCAAGAATATTGGGAGAGAGGGAACTGAATCCATTTCCTTCCCTTGTTAAAATGCTTTGCTTCTTCCTTCAATTTTCAATGTGGCTCTTAAACTTTTAAACCTTTCTACTTAAAAAAAAAATTAAGGAGGGCAGCAAAAGAGTTTTTGTTTGTTTGTATGGGTTATATTTATCAATATTTACAGAATTTAAATTAAAATGGATGCATTTGCCGCCATTACCACTTCTCACAAGTGTTTGATGGGAATTAAATGTTGTATTATTTTTTTTAACATTGCCTGGCAAATTATTTCAATTTGCACAGCCCTGAGAGGGTCTTGAGGGATCCCCAGGGATGCTGGGACCAGACTTTGAGAAAAACCAGCTAACACCACAAACTCTTAGGATGACAGCCATGAACTCCTGAGCTGCCTCTGCTCCTGGGCCCAGGGAAAGAAGATAGATGTTCCTCAGCACCATAAGCCCTGGGAATTCTATTGTCAACAGCACCAAAGCAGCTTGGGCAGGAAGCCATAATATAGCAGCCAACTCATCTGATTCTTAGAACCAAACCACAAATAGGTCTCACACTTGGTTCTCGGCAAGGTAGCAATTCCAAGTAGGTACCAGAGCATGGACTTGATCCAATGGAAAGCAACAGCCTCAACTGATTAGTGCAGCACAGAGGTTGAACAGTCTGTTGAACTGGAGTCAGTATGTAAAGCTGCATGCATTGGAAAAGGCCACTCCTGCACCCATTAGTTTTGGTGTGGAGGATGTATGTGTCTGCCCACAGGTTCTACATGTGCAAACCACATATAATGTTTTGGAATCTTTCAAGATGCCTACTGCATTAATAAACAAGTAAGCAAACAAATAGAATAGTGATAGAATGTAACCCCAGAATCTCAATTACTCTAAAAAGAAAGATTTATGCTGTCTTTCCTAGTAATAACTCTCTGCAATGAGGAAGAAATATTTAACTAAAAGCAAGGGGGAGCTTGGGTATTGTGAATAGAAGAAATTATGTAGCAGAGAAACCTAAGCGTGTGGCTTTCACTTTTTCAGGCTATGCAAACTTTATAATACAGTAATTCCCGTACCTAGTAATCCAAGAGATCAGAAGAGAACTGGAGTTCAAATATAGGGCCAAGGCAGAGCATATGCCAGCCCTGAAGGACTCCAGTTTACTACTGATGCTTTACATTTCCCTGGCAACAATCAATTCTCTCCTTCTGTTCCTGCTGCCAGCAAGCTCTGTGATGGAAACCAAGGTTCTCATCAATCAGATTTCAGAGGGGCAAAAGCTCCCCCCCCCACAGGAATGCTGCTGGACACAAGAGATTTGATCTATATTACTCCTAATCCACCACCTGGCACTGCCTGCCATTAAAAAAAACTGTTTGGTTCTTCTCTTCCTATATAATTTTCTTTGACTAATACCAGGTGTGTGATCAAATATTTATTCTTTCTCAACCAAGAACAATTCTGCATGGCAGATTTAAACAGCTCATCTTCCATGCTAAAACCAACTACGAGTTTAATTTTAAAAAAGCATTGCTGGATTTCAAGCTCTGGTAAAAAGGACAGGCAGGATATTCTGTCTGGATGACAGTGATCACAGCCCCCAATGGGCAGAGTCTCCATCTGTGCTGGGAACAAATCCCTATTTCCTTCTTTTCCACAAGCGGATCTTTGAAGATATGTTCTTTCCATTGGAGGAAGTCCTTTCCTATGAACCCCTGTCCATGAATTGTCTGTTATACTGACCATCTTGAAATCAGGTGCATAAGCAAAAAGCTTCAGGGCTCCTGAGGAGGATGTTGTTTGCTCAGAAAATTTCTAGTGGGGCTAGAAAGAAAAACTAGAAGAACTTGTGTCAATCTTACCCCAGTTCAAGAAAGAGAGAGAGAGAGAGAGAGAGTGAGGGAGGGAGGGAGGGAGGGAGGGAGGGAGGGAGGGAGGAA